AGAAGGTGCTGGCACGAAAAAGATCCCTCGCTGCTCAAAGACGTAAGTGCCTAGTGCATGTCAAAATTTACAGCTCTCCGCCGGAAAATGGTGGCTTCTCTATATGAGGTTAAAGTTCGCTAGGAAGGAACGTTTTAACAAACAAACAAAAATTACTGAATTACATTAACCACCCTGCAGTTTGAATAATGTAGATTTTTTACGTCCTTCTTTTATGAAAACTTGGTATTATCTCTGGAATAAACAGACCTTTGGTTTTATGTCATTTAGCTAGATTAACTCACCTTATAAACTGCAGCATTTTTCAAATATTATACATATATCGGTATTCACTAGTATCGGGTGTCTTAGAAACTGGATCCTTTTAAAACGTCTTTTAAGGCAAAAAAGGTTAAGCTTCTCATGAAATTTTAAGATAACATAATTTAAGTAATTAAGCTTAAATATAAAATTTTCTTGTTTGAAAAAAAGAATATTATTATTGCAGATTTTACCAATTTTAATTTTTTTCAGGGGTGTGCACAAAAATTTGACATTTAACATTGAATTAAACATTATTTATTCAATAACATATATTGAAAGCATATAAATGAATGATTAAATGACCTATAGGAATACATGTACAATGTACACAAATGAAAGAATGTTACATTATTTCGGTAAAGAAAATGAGACTTCAAATTTTTATTTTAAAAAATAACTGCGTCAAATAAACCACATATAATTCTTTGTCTTCGTTTTTATTGTTTTAAATATACACTGTAGTTTTATATGAATTCATCTGAAGCTGATTTTGGGTCGTTTTGTACCTAAGTCCTTCCAACCTTAAGTGGTGCTGTGGAAAAAATTATAGTACGATGACCAATAACCCCCCCCTCCCCTCAATAATTGTGTCTTATGTGATTTAATTAAAAAGTATTGAAATTTTGAGAAAATAAAATTCTTTAGAAAGTAATCCGAGGATGACTCTTCCTTAATATAAACGGTCATAAGAATACTAAAATAACTGTTTAAATTATACTCGATCAGATTTTTTTTTCTATATTTTCCATTACTGGGGTTGAGTATGTTTCGTCGGGAATTTATTCTGAAAGGTCTATGATTTAATAATGAGCTGAAGAAATATTTTTTCCACTTTATTCTTAATGGACACAACATAACGACCCATACCTTCTTGTAAACACGACCTTTCGCCGTTGTAAGAAAACAGAAAAAATATGATTGACAACAAAAGGTAAAAGTTGATACATGGTATAAAAAACTGAATGGAGCGTTAATACTTTTTAAAAATCTTTAAGTTTTCGTGATAAAAAAAGGTTTTGGTTTTCATTAGAATATTTGTGGGGCAGCAAAATCAGAAAAATAAATGTTTTGGTCAAGTAAAGTTTAAGTATTTTTGTACATACTTTTTGTAATATGATATGTCAACAGATCTCTTTACTACAGGTGTCGGAGATAGTCAAGCTCATTGTACAAGAGACCAATATTTGTTATGTTTAATATGTTGTTATTTTGATAGGAGACTGTGGATGGAATGCAGAGACTTTTGCTGGTTTTACAAGTCTTTAGCAAATTTCTTTAAGGGCTTTTGTCAACTTTTTGAGGTATTTAAGAAGTGCACAGCAGTCAAATTTTGAATATACGTAAGTTCTATTTTTTCGATTTGAATTTTTTTTTAATATTTCAAAATATTCAAATCTTAACTAGAATTGTCTAATTTCTTTTTTTTTTAAATAATAAAGCTGTTTTGGAGAGAGAGAGAGCGAGATGGCGAAATTATAGCTTTACACTATCAATAAAAAACTAGCTACCCACACCACTGTATTTAGATCATTGGACAAAAAGCCATAAGGAATCGAGTTAATTTCTTGCGTCATGTCGAGATTGGTCGCCATGGCCTTTCCCGCTTACAATGACCCATTAATTCCATCTGGTGAAAACATAGATAAGCCATTAATACAAGCTTTTTTGTGATTCATTAACATAATTTTAAAGATGTTTTATTTTGGGAAAGGTGAATCTGCGAATTACAATCTAAAATTGAAACAGAAGGGGCTTGACTTTTAAATATACTTCGACAAGCAGAAATCTGATTAGAGCTTTTCAAAATTTTGCTTTTTTTTTTGTTCCTTTGACTAAGATTTTTACCTTTATTTATTCAACTTTAATATTTCAATTTCGTTTTAACAATGAGAGAGAGAGAGAGAGAGAGAGAAGACGGTAAGAAGCATCTATTACATCTATACTGGTGAAGAAAAAAGAAAACTTGGATGTGAATAAAGCATAATATACACTATAAATGTCCAAAAGATTTTTTTTCTATTGTTTTATCTTTTGAAAATTAAATTTCGACACAATTTTCAGCGTTTCATGTAATGCGTAATATAAAAAGAAGTGAATAGAAAGAGAGAGAAATAATAAATTAAAATTTAATGAATAAATATTGATAAATAAATAAATCAATTAATTATCAATCAAACAAGCAATAATGAAATCGATTTCAAGTTCTGATTAAAAAAAAACCAGAAATGATAATAATTGTGAATTTAAATGCAAATTCCCCCAAAATATAAAAAGAAACTATCGTAATTTTTATTTGAGAAAAGTTGAAAAAAAAAAATGTAATACTCTAGATCTGGTAAATGTTTCGTTTTCTTTACTCTTTAACTTGTAGCACTTTCGTTAAGAAATAACGATAATCTTGAATTAGACTCTTTTAAAAGCTTTCGATAAGCGCCCTTGGCTATTTCTGAAAAAAAGAATGTGGATTTGTGAATTATCAAATCTGAAAACTCACAAAAATTAATTCAATTGCCAGTTAATGTATTTCTTGCTGTTGAGATTCGTGCAGAAAACTAGTCCTGTACCAACTGCGTGAACATGCTTAACGTTCGTCTCTAATCAAAGTTTAAATTCGGAAACAACCAAACAAGAGCTACAAGATTTTTCTTTTTCTCTTATTTACAGTGCTGCACTTTACACGAGTAAATTGCTGTTTTTGCTTTTGTTTCAAGAGTATGGGTTGATTAGTCAGACATCGTGTTAATTTTCTGCCTATTGTATCGACATCACTCGATTGAAAGGTAGGCTGATTTTTTTTAAAAAAAGAAGAATTCAATGTGTTTTTTGTTTAACCCTCTCTCTCTCTCTCTCTCTCTCTCTCTCTCTCTCTCTCTCTCTCTCTCTTCGGTTTTCTGCTTTATTTTAAATAAAAAAAAAATTGTAATCCAAACAGGGCTTTAAATGTATATTTGACGAAAAAAGTAGAACTTCATCCTTTTTCCATCGTTCTCTTTTAATTTGGCTGGGGTGATATTCATACTTCATTAAGACTGTTAACATCTTGACAATACAAATCATTATATATAAACTATCCTATCCTCGGTGGATTCACAGTTTATATGGAGGAAAATGCTTCTACCTTCGACATAAACCAAAAGCACATTCTTTGATCTGACAGTAGTTCTACGATTACGAGATTAGCATTGAGGCCGTGAGTTTAGCGAGAGTTTGCAGCACTGCCCCCTACAGACCCCAAAAGGGAGATAACGCACTTGACACACAACCTGCACATGCCGGAGTTATCTGGAAATGAGTTAACAGAGCTGATTTATTTTCCCGATAATCGTTAATCTAATTACTGGCGTCTTGTGATACGATGGCACGGTCATTATACACTAAACAGTTCCATGTCGGTTAGATCATGGCTACTGGAAATTCTGTGTATTGCTATTTAATGTCATTGTAATTTTACACCTGCTGAGAAGAGGATTTTTTTTTTTCATTCCAAATCAACAGATTTAAAAAAAAAAAATTCCATTCATGATCCGATGCTCGATTTTTAATCCACAGATTAATTTTTTAAATTATCCTCCTGCTGCAAATCAAAATATTTCTTGTTTGAAATTAAGTCATATGTTTATAGCAGTTGCTAATAAATTTAGCACTCAATCTGGTAATTGTTGTTTTCCAGAAAACGAGCAAATCTTACTAAAATGAATTTCTGATAAACAATTGTAATCCCCAAATCTATAGACATGTGAAATAAATATTATCTGATTCGATTGTGAGCGAAAAAATATTCTAGCCAAATACCATCAGATTATTTTTAGAAAGAGTGTTAGATTGATTTTACAGATTTATAAATGAATATGATAGCGTCTTTTTTAAATAGCAACGAGACAAAAATCAGTGGAGACATTTTTTACTTCTCTCTCGAACAAATTGTTCTAACAGTTTTCCCCGCTGATGAAATTCCAGATTAACTATAATGACACCTTTCTAACTCGTTCTATTTATCAAATCTTGTTTAATGGATTGTAATGCAACTTGGAACATAGATGGAGAGATAACGAAAGCAATGGATTTGTCAATTATTTTCTTTGAACTTGATAGCGTTTTCCTTGGTCTAAATCTATAGCAAACGGCATAAAAGCTTTGACAAACATTATTGCAAATCAATTCAAATTTCCGTCTTCCGTTTCACAACCGTGATACTTGGAATAATCGCCTTGTTATTAATTGTGCTTTTAAACACAACTTTAAATCAATAAACACAACTTCATTTCTAAATAAATTCCCCATTTAATTTTTCTAGGGACAAACTATTTGTTTTTTGTTTTGTTGTTGTAATTTTCTTGTTTCCTTCTGCGAAAATAATATTAAAAAAGAATAAATGTGTAAAAGAATTAATTATAGTTATTCAAATTGAATATTTCTTGGATTTTTTTTCTGAACAAAAATGAAATTTATTAAATATGTTGAAAAATAATGATAAAGAATTCGTAAATATGTTTTTAAAAAATCCGTTTATCCAGGAGGCGGGGCTTGAGGCGGAGTGATTTCCATTACAAAGATATCTCACGCGCACGATTCTCAGCCAATCACAAATCGCCAAAAAATTAATTTTAACCAATGGTATAACAGCTCTTTAACCCACGAGAAAAAAGTCTCTAACACAGTGCTGTCATGTAAGATGTTAGTTGAATATTTAACGCTTGTGAAACACGAGTATCGACGAAACAAGTAAATATAGTAGAATTGTGATAAGATAGCAAAATATACGCAGGTCTGAAGTATACATGGATATTAGTTTACACAATTGAACATGTGGTAGCAGAAATATACACGTTGCAGTTGATGTATATTTCTCAGCAACAAACTAATTTTCATAAATATTTTTCTGAATATTTGTTGACCGTGAAATTTCTTTGAGTGCCTGACCGGGAGATTTAAACTTTTTCACGTTGACTTTCATTCTTTTCTGGAAAATTTATAGAAGTGTCTAATAGTTAACTGTGGGAAAGTGGGGTGTGTGCGATGTCCCTTCCTCAATTCGGATACAACTATCCTACCACAACTTTGTCCTCTCCGTCACAGGTAAGCTTGCATTTTATAGTGTAAAAGACAATCAATTTAAACGTTTAAGTGATATTGCTTTTTTTGCATTATCCATAAATATTGAATATTTGATTTTCTAATAATGGTCTTCTACGACTAATTAATGATATTTCCTGCTGTTAATTGCTTTGGTAAACCATATTGAGGGAAAGCTCGGCCAGTGCTTTTTGGTGATTCACCTATTAATGCATAAAACCACAACTCTATAACTTGAAAAGCAATCTGTTTTGGACAATCGTACTGAATAAAAAATACATGACCAATGTCATTTCTAAACGATGGAAACGTACATCAAATAAATGCTTAATAAAAACAGAAAATTTTAGATTCTCCAAAAGTACAATCTACAATTTTAATTCTTAATTTATTTTTGAATTTTTAAAAACATGCACAGGAAACGTTTTCAATTTTTAAAAGATATCTGCATTTATAAATAGAGATGTGAAAAATATTTATTATAAGGAAACAAGAATAAAATTTAATGGTATTTTGAAGGTATTTAACAAAAAAGAAGTAGATTGACGTAATAATAGGTATCAAAATGCTGTTTATTGTTTGAATATTACCCCGTTTTAAAATATAGTAACATCAAGAAACCCTACTTTAAAATTGATTTCAGCCACTTACAAACCTTTTTCAATCAATAAGTAATTATAAAAGATGATATTCTTTTATTGATCAATAAGGTATATTGAAGTATATAAATAAAGCAAATAGATTTATTCAAATCCGTAAACTCATGCTTGCATTTTGTAAAAATTAAATAGGTCATTCTTTCTATGTTCTCAAAAATTATTGCCTAAATTTAATTTATGCCAACTTTTAAATAGCTTATGTATATGACATTATTAATATATTTCATGTCCTATTATAAATAAATTTTCAAATTTGATTCAACAGTTATATTTGTCTCATATAGTTTGTTATTGTACAAATATACATGTATAAATCCAGCTCGTTTTAATATCGTATTTTCATATTTAGAACATAGTTTTCAAAATTTAAATACATGTACACATGATTTCTCTCTTTTTTCAAGATTCTAATGTCGACCCCCACTACTTCTACGCTATCCTCCGTTACCACGTCCTGCTGTGAGAATGGTCGCCCCATAATGACCGATCCCCACACGGGACAGACGGTGTGCTCCTGTCAGTATGGGTCCGGTCTCCTCAGCGCCTACTCCCGGGTCCCCTCCCTCACCGACTCAGTCTACAGTGCCGGACCCTACGGGTCACAGAGCTACATGCCCCTGGGAACGGACCCCTCAGCGTTTTATTCCCCGTTGGTAAGTCCTTCACCAATAACTACTCCCTGATAATTATAAAGTCCAAATACTTGATTTTTAGCCCGTCTTTTGAAAGTCTTGAGACCTTTTCCCCCATTTCCCATCTTGATCATTTATACCCGCGGCGTCTTCTAAATAAAAGTGTAAACAAGAATGGGGTTTGGTCACACGACCGTCAATAGCGATGTAAATGAATGCATCAATCATTCCTGGGTTAATCTCTTTAGTGGATTTAATCGATAACTTTCTTTTTCTAGATTGCTTCTGGGGATTAAGATTTATGTAATTTTTAGAAAAATGAATAAGTTTTGATATCGATGCCAGAAATAAAGATTTAATTGCAAATCGAAATTAAGCAAAAATACAATAAAAATCTCTCATATCTGTTTTGTTATTTTCTTTAACTGTAAATACCTATTCTTAACCAAGAGTGTGTTCTGTAAAAAATTATTATCTGTGAAAAAATGATCATAATTTTTTATAAAAATGGATTAAGTTTTCCCGTCCTGAAAAAAATCATTTTATGTTTGTCAAATAATTCTTTGTAATATAGTATTAAAATTCTAGTTTGGGCAAATAAAATTATACAAATCATTTGCAAATCAATTTCATTCCAGGGCTACAGTTTTAACTAAGAATTTCTTTTTATTTAAACTTGTAAACGATTGTATTTCTTGTTGAACTCTCAAAGATACACAGACGGATAACTGACCATGGCTGCTGAAAAAAAATATTGATATATCCCGACTTGTTGGCTATTTAGCTTCGATGTAGCGATAAGACTGGGGAAAATAAGGCCTATCGGATAGCCTCTTTTTTCTACCTCTCCGGAACTCCACGGGGTTCCACGTTATCTCCCTGTGAACAGAAATTAGTCGCCATGCCTCGATATTCTTCAACTTTCGCTGAGCAACTGCTTCAAAATATTTTAAATAATTTAAAGAATTTTTCATAAGTTTAATTATTCTTGTTGAAATATAATTGTTTTTAGTAATCCATGTTATTTTAGATTTAATAACATCAGTAATATAAATGATCTGAAAATACAATGTACCAGTGTTCTTTTATTTTTCGGTGTTAAGAAATCTATGTACTAGTATGCAAATGTGTCTTTAAATTACGATTAGTTTATATAATAATTTCAATATGCTTTTTTTTGTTTTTCTTTGGGAAAAAAATAATACAAAATTTATTGAAGGATAAATTCACGTGTAAACTAAATATTTTGTAATTACAAATAAAATTTTCTCTTCTAATGTACATGTAAATGAAGTTAAATCAATGTGTTACTCTAAAAGTCATATCGTATCAATATTTTTGTTATCAATAAAAAAATTTCTGATTGTTTTAGGAATTAAAGAACATTATCTTGGCACAATAAATGTAAACTTTTACTTTACTACGCAGTACACAGATTCAAATGAATCACCAGTTGTAGGAATGGTTCCATGCTTTCATTGTAAATGCACTTGGTATCCATGATAAAAAGTAATTATTAATCATTAATTTTGCCTCCCAAATAGTATAGAACATCATATGGCAAGAAACCATAATCCTTGTGCACTCTATTAGCCTTTTGAATTTTTGGAGGATCACTGACATGCGATTTTTTCTTCAAGAAATACAATTTAAATTAGTCATAAAAATAGATGGATAGAACAATCAACTTGTTTTCCAAACGAATCCTATTGAGAAGAAATAAAAGTTATATTTAAAAATAAATAAAACTGGCAGGAATGTAAGATAAAGTCTGATTCGAAGAGATGCTTGATAAAAATCGGGTGAGCCGCGACTCTTTGACGGCGGACCCATCGAGAAGTATCCGCAAACTACCGGGCAATTAGAATCTATCTTGTTCACAATTTCCCCCAATCTCTCCAAAACAGCGGGTTCCATTTGGTGATTAGCAGAAATTTATAGAGCACCATAACTGAGTCGGCAATATTGGTCTAAGTACCTGAAATCTTTAACTAATTTTCTGCGACAAACTTCCTCCCTACTCTGTTAGTACGGTGCTGGGATAATGACACCTCCCCACTTGATCCGGGACCTTTCCACTCACCTTTCTCAGGAACGCAGCAAATGTTCATTCATGAAAATCGGGGAGGCTAAATTATTCCATTCTTAATTCTCATGGTGTGAAAATGGTTGATTATTTAACAGGAAGTTGAAATCAAGGGGTGCCAAAATTTGAGATGTTATCTTTTTAAAAATTTCATAATTTTTCTCTTTCTGTTCCATTAAACTAGTGAATTCAAACTGTGTTCCTGACGATTCTCCTTCTCTCTTTCTCCTTCATATACCCGAAATAAAGCCTTTTCATACCAATGCAATATGAATGATAATATATAGGTTTCTAAATAGGTGGAACTTAATCTCCCAAACTTCACAGCAGAATCTTTACATGTTTTTCTAATCATTCATTAAAAAAATGTAAAACATGCCATGTATATTTTATGTTTGATTTATTCGATATGAACATAATAATTGTTTGCAAATTTGCTTTTTAACAGCGCAAATCCCCTCGTAGCGAGCGCTAAAGATAACGATTTATAGATTTATGAAGTGGCATGCAAACAGATGGGCGTCTTGAAAAGGCGATTTAATTGAATTGAAATCATGAACTTTTCATCCTCTAGAAAATTTTCCCATTTCACGACCCCTTTTACCATTCCCAGAAGAATATTTCTTAGGTGGTCCATTCCGGCGTAACTATATTGTACATAAGTTATTACCTATATGCAATGAATATGTATACGGAGAACAACTTCATTGATAACAGTCCAAACAGTTTGTTTCACATTGATAGCTTTCAAGGGATGAGGTTATTATGTTTTTGACAAACTGCATTATATTTCTTGTCGAAAATGTGTAAACAAAGTCCCGCGGCCTTTCCGCTAACAAGTATTAATTATTTATATAAATATGTTCTAATTATTACCTACATCCTGTGGGGAATGCGTTTTAACATTTTTTCTTGTCAATCTGGCAAATTACGGTTATAAATGATATTTTGGTATATGTAGATATATTCATTTGTAATAAATAATTAATAGATAATTAAAAGTGGATGGTCATAATTATTTATGGAGATGGAAATGCTCAAGAAACTACTCCAATAAATGATCTTCAAGAAATACTTATATTAATTTAAAAAAAATCATTTTTGTTTTTGACAAAGAGAACGGAAAATATGATTGATAAAAAAAATCATATACATGTAATTTCATCTTTTGTTTAAAGAACGAAATTTGCAATTCACTTTATTTGTGAATTAATTAAACATTGTTTTAACAAACAATCCAATATAAAAATTTAGTTCAAATCAAAGTATTTATTTTTCATTATGGAAGAATAATAAAGAAAAATTACCCTACTTGAAATTTTTCATTGAAAATTGTAAACTATTTAAATGAAATGGAGTGAAAAAGAAAAAAAAATGAATTAAAAATTACAAATTTAAGAGATATATGTAATCTAATCTTGAAATTTAAACATCAAATTACTTTTCCTGCTATATTTTTGTAATGGGTGTTTCATTAATAGTATTACATTCTGAGATAAATGAATTTATCGCCGCTTAATTTAAAATCAATGTTTAATATAAAAAGAAATTTGAAATACATACGTGTAAAAAAAAAATCAACAATTAACAATGTTATGAAAAAAAAATGTGTTTTTCTTGCAAGCTTAAGTTGATTTTCACAATGGAGAATCAAAGACGCTTTCAATATGTTATGTTGATTTCAATGTATTTATTTACAAAAATCACAGATTTGATGTATTTTATTTTCAAAATACATTTATTTTTATTTTTAAACTAAAATTTTTATTTATGTACATCAATTTTCTTGAAGATCTTGCACTTCTTAATTTGGTTCATGGTTCATGTTTGAAACAATTTAAACTTCATAATTTAACAATTTAAAAAAAAAATGTTTTCTTCATACACTGTATTCTTTACACTAAACATGAAAACGAGAATTGGACTAATTCATTTACGAAAACCTCGTTACAGAATTCTCCATATGACCTCAAGGACGGTTCGGATGCAGCTTGGCGGAGTCTTTCCCAGCCGTCTGCCTGTTATCCTTATGATCCCGCCATGGCGGCATATCCTTACGGAAATGCGTAAGTATTTCACTTAAAACACCTGACTTTCCGTTCCTCCTTCACTGAAGAGTCTTTTTTGACTCTCGGAAGAAGTACGCTGTCAATGAACTTCCTAGAGTGCTTTTCAAGAGTTACCAAATTTTTTGTTGTTAACATATTATTTCTAAGATTATTGTGCAAGAAACATGAATGAATTTTGTATGATTAAAAATCTATCTTCTCTAGTGTTTTATTAGAAACACTCGCTTATCCCTAAGTATTATTGTCATTTTTCAAAATTAGTTATGGCGGAATGGATTTGAACGGAGCCGCCAGACGAAAGAACGCCACAAGAGAGACAACAAATACGTTAAAAGCCTGGCTCTATGAGCACCGAAAAAACCCTTACCCCACAAAGGGGGAGAAAATAATGCTGGCCATTATCACCAAAATGACTTTAACCCAAGTCAGTACCTGGTTCGCAAATGCTAGACGACGGCTTAAAAAAGAAAATAAAATGACTTGGTCTCCAAGAAATCGTTGTGGGGATGGGGACGACGAAAACAGTAATGACAAAGCCGATGATGATGACGACGATGAGAAAAGAAAGACAGACGAAAACAGCAACGACCCCATAAAACCTAATGAAGAAAAGGACAGTTTTGGTAAGTGTGTAGAACTTCTTTCATCTAAATATAAAACCCAAACTAAACACAGTTGGCACATGGGTATTCGAAACGTTGACTGATCGTTTTCATTGTGATAAACAGTTTTTCTTACGATTTGATAATGACTCATATTAAAGAGTTCAGTCTGGAAGCCACGAATTGAAACAACACAGAGATTGGGCTAAGTGTTTCAGAATTTGTATGATGTATCGCTGATATTTTAAAACATGACAACTAGATATTGTTTGCTCGGTGAATGCTGAGTGGATATAGAAAGAAATAAGAACAGATTTCGAGTACTGACAATTAATATTTGCTACCCAGATTAATGGTTCTGATGTCGAAAGCTGATTATAATGTTGCAATCTTTGAAATTTCAAAGCGATGTCACCTTTGTATCAGTCAAAAGGAGTCTATAACGCGATCGGGATTCTCTCGTTATCGGGTTCCCACGTAAACTCTATCCTTCACAAGAATCGACCCCTGAAATAATATGTGCAGAATGCAAGGGATTACTCTAGGCGATAAGACCTCTAACAAATATTTGATCGTATTTCTCGACTAATTTAATCAAAGAAAACAAAGATTGTCAGTTGTTATACGATAAGAATTTAATCACAGCATTTAATAATCTGCCGAGGCTTTCGTTCGGACTTCAAGAAATCCGCCAAACAGTTTCGGCTCTTTTCGATATCATCAATGTTACATCTGCTGCAAATTTTATCTGCGCGTGCATCGCCTTTTCGTCTCCACACTTTCGTTCACTTGTCTTGGAAATTTTCACTAATATTTGACGTCCAGCTAGGAACAATTATCATTATTGACATTCAAATGCATTGTTGTCCGTTTCATAGCAGATTTCATTCGGGTATGTGTAAAACACGAAACGAGAAACAAGAAACGAGAAACAACAGAATTAAAAAAAAAAAAGAATGACCTAAAAATGTCAACCAAGGGGGCAGCTTTTGTTGTGCTTTCATTTTGTTAGAAAACAGATGCTGAGTGAAACATTAGCGATCTTGCACTGCTAAACCCATCAAGCCATGACAGCTTTAATTAGATATCAACTGAAAGTACACGATTTAATAGCTCACCTTAAATTATTATCTGATTGTTTCATAACCAAAGAATAAATAAAACATTAAATAATTTCACATTATTTATAAACAAAACATTCATATATCTGTTATACAATGTATATATATATGTTAAAAAACATTAATATGAACATGATGTACTAGTATATATATATTATTATGTTAAAATTGTAATTAGGAAAGCTATATCTTATAACATTAACAATAAATTCCACCTCAATTAATTAATGAAATCAATTAATGACAACAGAATCATTAAAAGCAAAAATTGTATCATTTGATGACAACTTTATTATTTCAAGCAAAAACTGAGTGAGCATTTCTCTTAGATAACAGTATTGTATTAATTAAATCTGACATTTTAGGGTTTTTCTGTGCAGATAGTTGTGCGGGTCGCTAATAAATCAGACCTAAGTTAGATACTTCATTTCACTCTGCATCTGTTTTCTAACAAAATGAAATCAAAAGTGCAAGCCGCCCCCTTTGTTGACATTTTAAGGTCATTAGTTATTTTAACCTGAATCTCATTTCATTGTTTCTCGTTTCTTGTTTCTCGTTTCGTGTTTTACACATACCCCGAAATCCATTCCATAATTTCGACACTCGCCACCCTGCTCATGCTCTTCAGTCGCTCGTAAACAAACCTCCTATGAAAACGAGGCAAACAAATGAAATGAAATAGAATACTGTAATTTTCTTTTTTATTAAAAACCATGGTCATGCCTTAATACCTTTAAGTAGTTAGCAGACGATCAATTGACACTCAGCAGTCAGCTGGAATCCTGTAATTATGGAAAACTAAAGATGGCACGCGGATCTAAGTTTTCTCTTTTCTTACAGCACGCGTCTTCCAAAGTCCATGTCAGCATTTGTGATTGATATCCTAGCTTGCCTGTTGTTTCAAAAAAGAGAAATTTCATTGGGGTATTAGAAAGGAATACTCATGCGTTTGATACTAATCTCCCCTCCATTTGAATTTCTTTTTTTGCTCATATCGCCATTTCGTGCGTGGATAAGCCGCTATAATTGAAATCAATAACACAAATCGAAAGGGACATTTATAATGTCAATGGGCTCGTAATCGCAGATCAGAAGGTATGCGCTTTTAGAGATGGACAAGGTCTCACACGAGCATTTATGATGAAATGCTCGATAGTAAACAACATATTTTCCCCAAGTAATAGCATTACACATTTTCCATTCCTGTGGGCCCTAAGGTTGCTGGCTTGGGAACATTCGTGAGCCACATTAAGCCAGATTACCCGCCCGTAATCCTGACCCAAAGAAGATATAGCCACCAAACACGCATCTTAGCTTTTGCTTTTTTGATGGAATATGATAAATTATTTGCACTTAAAAATGTAAAAATACCATTATCTCTAATTCCGCTATCGTTTGTTTTCTATTACAATTTATCTGATATATGTATCCTTGCACAAATTTTGTCATTTTTTTTTTAGAATTATATTTTTTTGCAAAGCGTATTTCAATCAAAAGTTGCTTTTTTGCAGACGTCATTAAAGTCACGTGACTGTCAAAAAATTGTGCGTGGAGAACATGACAGGTCTATTAGCGCGTGTCCTTTTTTTCTGTCTGGTCGTTTATGACTTGGTTTCACTATTTGTATTTCCGCCATAAATTAATTGTATTTTGCATTATGTTTTATCCACAAAAGAATTATATATTACATGGTTATTGACTGTCGTTGTAAAAGGATACATTAATCATCATTTGATGTTTGGAGCCTCTCTGCCTGTTCGACAACTGCTAACACGTCCCGAAAGACACCGCGTCTCCCGTCCGTAATTGTTTAAAATGCTTACTGTTTAATCTTCTACTTCAAAGGGCGCATCTTCTATTTCTAAGCATTGAAACTCTCAAAAGTCATTTTCTTCCAACTCGATAATTTTTCATACCAAAGAATTATTAGCACACCCAGAAGTTCCTCTTGTTGATGTGTATCTGGCTTATAAATCTAGGGAAATTTCAATAAAATTATTTTACTCATTAAATAAATCGACTAGCGACTTTTTATAAGAGATTGCTCATTTAGACAATACGAAAAAAAAAATTAATGAAAAAAATATTAAGTAATTCGCTACCTAGTTTTCATGATACTATACTTGAGCTAAATATCAAAATGCATTATGAATTAAAATAATTATTTGATAAAGGGTTTTTGACATTTATAGAATTTTAAAATGACGCACATCTTTAACCTTATCTGTATATATGCAAAAATATGTCAAATAGAAAACTATCATAGAAAAAAATACTTATTTTTCAAAATTCTTTTTTTAAAATTGTAAATTAAATTTTTTTTATTTTTGATTTTTTGTTTCGAGGGTCTTCTTGCAATGTACTTACGATTAAATATATAAATTTTAGTAGGGAAATTCCATGGAAACACATTATCATAACAATATAAAAG